TTCACGCTGTTGCTCCTTTCTGGGGATCAGAGAGGTGTACAACAAACAAACAAAAATAAGTAGAATAAAGAAGAAATGTAACTACACATAAATACATAAAATCCAAAAAAACATGGTAGTGTTAGTTAAAGTCTAACCCTAAGACTGAATATCTTATTTAGAAACCTCAATTAAAAACATATGATCAAAAATCCAGTTGTTAGTTTCAACTAGAGGAGACCCATCAAATCAATAAAATTTGTATTAGCATTGATTTACCAAGTTCCAATCAATTTGGTCTAACCTAGTTGCAATTAACCACTGGCCTTTTGCTATCAGACATCCTCTGATGTTTATACAATCCCTATGCCACTCCCCTAAAGCCTCTCAACTTGAAGTGATACTCATATAATATGCACAGAGGCACAGATGAACAACTTGATGTCCTCCAGAAGTTCTCAGACTATAACTGCCATCACCCCTCACTTTTGGTTGTGCTGGCTTGCACTCATCGGAATTGCAGTCTATAAATCTGTAGGGCTTCATGTTTGTGTTTGTGGCAGTGAGTAAAACTGAGCTCTTTTTAATGTGCAGTAGTAGAAGAGGAATTCTTCAACAGATTTTCGGTCATACCATCCATAGTTTGCATTTGGTATCAGCTGTAATAACAATTTCTATCTCTCCCTTCTTTAGGATGGTGGTTGTTGTTAAGTGCCTTTAAGTGCCTGTGAACTGCCAGAACACTGCATTGTACTAATGAGACATATAGAGTGGGCACGAACCTTGGTTCAGAAGTTTGTGCTGATTCATATACAGTGGTGCCCTGCATGACGACGATAATCCAAATTGCTGTACAGCGAAATCGTCGTCATGTGAAAAAAAACCCATTGGAATGCATTGAAAACTGGTTAATGCGTTCCAATCAGGAAATACCTCATCGTCCAGCGAAGATCACCCATAGAGAACCACCAATCAGCTGTTTAAAATTGCTGTTTTGTGAAGCTTCTGTCTGGAAAACAGCCATTTTGCGAAGGGAAGCCATTTTGCGGAGCCGGAAACATCGTTTTGTGAACAAACGGTCCGCAAAGCAGGGACCTAATCGATGTAAAGCGAAAAAAACCCATAGGAACCATCGTTTTGCGATCGCTATAGCGATCACAAAAAAGTCGTCGTCAAGCAATTTCATCATCATGCAGGGCACCACTGTACATGGAACCAGAAGTGCCATGTGACCCTTTCCCCCGCCTCCCTGGCTTGATCCACCACTCACCAGCCAACACACGATCCTCTCCATCTCCTCTTCAGCTGTTCAACCAGTTTCTGGCAGAAACATGGGCTTCCCTGCCTCACATCCTTGGCTGATCGCCCACTCAGATAAGGACGCAGGGCAGGCAAACCCATACTCCTGCCAGGGACTAGTCGAACAGCCAAAGAAGAGGAGGAGGAGAGGAGCATGCTCTGACTGATGAGTGGGTAATTAGCCAGGGAGGTTGTGGAACATGTACACACGTACGAACTGGCACGAATCCCCGAACTGAGGTTCATGCCCATCTCTAGGCATATATAAATCAAATCAATCAATCAATAAGTAAATAAAATAAATTCATGTTGCAGCCAACTTACAGTGATCCTAATAGAATTTTCAAGGTATGTGAGATACTTACCGTATTCTTTTGCTCCATAAGACGCACTTTTTCTCCCCCCCCGGCTGTCAGAGGGGGTGAAATCGCCACCTTCAGGGACTCTTGAGGCTTGGGAAGCTTCAGAAGAGGCCCAGAAGGTGGCGATTTCGCCCCCTCTGACCCTGGGGGGCAGGGGGAGCCTCCAAAGGGTCCTAGGGTGTGTTCCATAAGATGGACCTCTCCATAAGGCTCACCAATTTTTAGGAGAAGAAAACAGATTATTTTTTCATGTTTTTGTCTCCTAAAAATTTGGTGCATCTTATGGAGAGGTGCGTCTTATGGAGCGAAAAATACGGTAAGTAGTGATTTTGCCATGCCACCCTCAGTGAGTTTCAATGGCGGAATGGGAATGTGAACACTGGTCTCCTGAATCCTAATCTGTCACACTGGTTATTGTAGGTAACGGAGGACAATAACTACCAACGAAGTTTGCTTTCCTTCCTTCTCCTCCTTTACCAATGCACAATCACAGGAGGCTTTTCCTCATGACTGTCTGTTTGCAGGTATGGAATAAAACTGTCATGTATGTATGATCAAGTATCCCTTCCCTGCTAGCACATCTCTACTATTGGGAAAGTTAGATATGTTGTATCCCATTAATGTGCCAAATGCTGAGGAGCTTCCATTTCCCAGCATTCAAGTCATCAGTCGCTGTTGTTATGGGCAGTTTTCCCAACAACTGATCCCATCAATCAATCAGTTCTGTTCCCCCAAATCAGATTAGCTTTCCACTACTTAACAGGACTGCTATTTCTTTAAAAATCTGTTACCTCCTCTCTCATAACATCTTTTAACAGTAAAGAGGTTTCTTATTTACTTTAGAAAATCCTCTTTAATCAACCTCCCTCTCCAGTCTGCATCATTGCTTAATTAAAAGGGGGTTTTCTCCTCTAAGACTTGTGGGATATGGAGTGCTCACCTAGTGATGTTTTTAAAGGGACAACCATCTTATTAGCAGAAAGGGGGAAAAGACTGAATACAGCCCTTTTTGAAGATTCTGGACTGTATGCATGTGAACAGTTCCAGTGATAGTAGCTTTTTATTTTCTATAGCTCTCAAAATGAAAACCTTCTCTGTAGTACTGTTAGTTTGTAAGAAGAAAAGTTGGCTCGATAACTCTCCACACACACACACACTTTTACATTTCCTGAGGCTGACAAAGTGTTCTCTCCCTTTCAAAAAAGGCATATCAACCACCTCCTGTTACAGTGAAAAGGTATGTCCTAAAGTGTAGTGTTTAGTTCTTCTTCACGGTCTCCATGGCAACCAAGCCCACTTGGTCCTGGCAATTACCTGCCTCTGGCAGCTGAAATGGGTGACAGCCTTTACCCAAATGAGAAACACGGAATGGTTGGAAGAAAATAATTGCCGTAAGCAGGACTTTGCATTCAAACCAACTGACCTCTAAACTTCACCTTCAGCAGGGGTCCTGCCGGGCTCCACATATCAGATCACCTCAACTGTCTGGCTTTCCATTTCCCTTATTTCTGCCTAATGTTAAATGATTAGAATGTACAGTACCCACAACCAATCGTACCAAAAATTACACCCAAAATAGGACCTAATTTTCATTGAGCACTGAAACTAGGCTGGGGGTGTCCTTCCAATTGCAGTTAATAGCTCTTCTGTCTCTTTAAAATCTATTCTCCCTAACACTTCTTCTCTTAAGCCCTATTCAGTCTTTATTAAAAGTTTATGTTCACTAGGGCCTAGGCCCACTCTTTTATCATCAATATAATCCCAGAAAAGGGATGGCCTGAAGAGGACAAGGCCCCTCCCTTGCAGAAACCAGACTTTAAAAATAATAGTTGTTGTGGATTTTTCGGGCTCTTTGGCCGTGTTCTGAACGTTGTTCTTCCTGACATTTCGCCAGTCTCTGTGGCCAGCATCTTCAGAGGAACAGGAGTAGGAACTCTATCCATGCTCTGAAAATGCCAGCCACAGAGACTGGCGAAACGTCAGGAAGAACAACCTTCAGAACACGGCCAAAGAGCCCGAAAAACCCACAACAACCATTAAATCCCAGCCGTGAAAGCCTTCACGAATACTTTAAAAATAATAATTCTGGGTTTTGTGAAGAGCCTCCATCCACTGAATAGTTCCTCCTTCAGTCTACTGCTTTCAGGTAGTAACAGCAACAACAAAAGTTAGCCCACTCTTCTCATTGTGTGTGGAAAACAAATGATTTAAGGCATGACGGGATCAGGCTCTAGAAAACATATTGATGATGGGGTGGCTACCTCCACATCATCAGGAAAAGCAAAAACAAAAATCAAAAGAGGACACATATTTGCAATGAATTGCATATGCTAATTTACATGTACAAATGCAACGTTATAAATATATTTTACAACTTAAACAATCCTTTTTGTGATTCTTTAAATCAGAGCAGGTCTGGACAATGCTTCAACTTGATGTAATGTCAAAAAAAGAAAGAAAGAAAGAAAGAAAAAGAGGATTGTCTCCTGGCAGCTTTTCAAATGGCAGACTTTGCTCAATTTTAAAAAAAGACACAGCCATTTATAATTTTTTGGACTCTGACTCCAGAATTCTCCAAGAATTCCCCAGAATTCTGGGAACTCCTGCTCACAGACATACACCTACAGGCACCTTAACACACCCCTACACTTCACTCACCTGAAATATACATCTCTTCCAGGTTGTCTCAGCTCTACTTCATGTACAGAAAGGGAAGTGCCCTGCTGTGTTGTTTTGTAACTCGTATCTCTGGTTTATTGTAATACTTTTTAATGTATTTGATTAATTTTAACGGTTTTCACAGGGAGGCTTGTTTATATGATTTTATCATTTTTTGAGGTAAACATTATTGTATTTATTTTATTCTTTTAAAAATTTGTAAGCTGCTGGAAGCGCTATGTTTTGGTTTACATTTTATACACTGTCTTTCTACTAATAAATAAATAGATCTCTTTAAATTTTGGTTCTTGTCAAAGAGGATGACAATGCGCTTTGGACAATGGTACAAATAGAAGGAGAAATCTATTCTACCCCACTCCTCCCGGCCCACACGGTCTTATTGAGAACTGTCTTCCTCCCTCCATTCCAATGGTTCCCAGCCTTGGGTCCCCAGATGCTTTCTGACTAAAACTCCCAGAAGCCTTTCCCATTAGCTGTACTGCCCAGGATTTCTGGGAGCTGTAGTCCAAGAACATCCGGGTACCCAAGTTTGGGAACAATTGCTCTACTCCCACATGTATAGGAGTTTCAGAAAAACTCCTATAAATGTAAGTCATGTATTAATGGTCTGCCACCCATTTGTCATCATTCAAAAATAGAGTAATGCTAAGAAATAGAAGAATGGAAACTTACCTAGTTTACCTTGTTTTCAAGGGGATCAGTTGCACGGTCTATGCCATACTCAAGTGTATCTTGCATCCCTGGCTATTACCAAATAACAAACAAACAACAACATACATTAGAATTTATTTTAAATTCAGCTTACAGTAATGCACTATTAAAATCTATGGCGTCAGTCCAAATGTATTGGCACTACAGTGCTGGCATAGCAGAACTTTCTTCCCTTTCCTTCCCCCCCCCCACCCCCGCAGCTCTCAAAGGTGTCGAAATTCTTCCCAGACCTCCAAAGCAGGTTTTTAGAGAGCACAGTAGACTGCAGTGGAATGGGAAGATCTCTGAGTGAGCTTAGCATGTCTCTCAGGAGAGCCATGCTTCTCTCCGCTCCTGCTTGAAGGGACTCAGTCTGACTCTTGAGTTAGGCCCACAGTCCATTTACTGTCTTAAGATGCAATGCCAGGATTCTGCACTCCTTGCATGCCCAGAAATATGCTAGTTCTCCACTCAGGTTGGGGTGTAACTAGGGTAGCTAAGCTTTTATTATTTTCTGGTATGTTTCCTGGCTGAATGCTGTAAGTCAGTGTCTACATTTGCTCCTACCTTTTGAAAACCCATTTCTTGTCACTATTTGAACTTTTGCCTTTTTATCTTTTTGAATTGTTCCTTTCTTTCCTTTCTTCTCTAAATGCACTGCAAAATTATTTCAAGCAAGTTGTCTCATTTTGACCGGGAGAGTGGAACGTACGACAAACCAGTCCTAGCCTTGTCCAGCCACTGGGATTTTCTTTGGCAGTGTTAGTTTGTGGGAGTGGTGGCAGCTACCTCCTCTAGGTTAGCACAATGGTTCTCTCTGCCTAAATTGGGGAATTTCCTTATTGTGTCAAATTCTCTAGATCAGTGGTCCCCAACCTTGGCCCTCCAGATGTTCTTGGACTTCAACTCCCAGAAATCCTGGCCAGCAGAGGTGGTGGTGAGGGCTTCTGGGAGTTGCAGTCCAAGAACATCTGGAGGCCCAAGGTTGGAGACCACTGCTCTAGATCATCTCAAAGCCTGGGAGACGAAGCAGGTGTTGAGGGAGTGAGATGGTTTCAGTCAGTCTTCCACATTTCCCATCTAGAGACAGGCACGGACCACGGTTCTGCAGTATGGCACAGTTCAGCAGTTTGACTGCGCAGCTGTTCCGTGGGCGGCCCAGCTTACTAGGCCTGCCTCCTCCAGTGGGTGCCCACTCAGAGGGAGCACCCAGAGAAGCCAGGGCTGGGAAGCCAGGGAGCCCATGGAACTGCTTTGCGTCTGAACCGTGGTCCATGCTCATCTCTCCTGGGTGCTCCCTTCTCACGATGAGACTGGTGTGTTTGAGGGATTGTAAGAAGGGGGATTTGACCAGGGAACTGGGGCACACATTCCCTAATGACAGGCACATTTTGTTATGTTGGTCAGTAAGTCTTAGCAATATCATGGCACGTGGAATTAGGTCATATACAGAGGAAATGCTGCCCGGTAAAGGGATGCCTTGATATGGCAAACAGATGGGTACTGCTGCTATTGCATCTGCTTTGAGCACAGTTGAGTTTTGATCAGCTGTCTGCTGAAGTTTGGCCATCAATAATTAAACCCCAGCCAGTGCTATCTTAAAAGGGTGAAAAGAGAGGAAACTGCTCAAGAAAGAGAAAGATCCAAGCACAACTCTGGTGTGATCAAAGAAGCTTCAGCAGGGGGGATGAACTGGGACCAAAGGGGTGGCTGTGGCACTCAGGCCTTTGCTACAGATGGTACTTTTTCCACCCCCAAGCGAAGTTCCAATTACAGCCTGACATTTGCCGGAGGCTTATACCTTCTCTGTCTGTTAACTGCTGGGTTCTCAGCCGGCTGCTTACACAGCGTGCACAATTAAAAGTGGATCTTTGATTATGATTTGGGATTAGGGAATGTAGCTTCTTGGCATGTGTCAGTGCCATACGGCATGCTGTGATCAGTGTGGTACTGTTCAGGAAACACCCCACTGGCATCTGCCAGAAGTGCCTCCAAAATAACAGAAGCTTGGTGTTTGCCGCCTACCCAGCTTGGGGTCTTTTTCCAGCATGAAAGATTTACCAAAGGCACCCTTCAAGAGCACCTCAAGGCATGGAAGATCAATGTGAGGGAATGAGGTAACGAGGAGGCCGATTCCCTGGATTAATGGTTCGCTTTTGTTGCTTGGTGTGAATTAAGAGTTAAAATTACAATCCCGCAGAAACAACTACAATTGCAGTCCTTAGGTTCACTGGGGTAAAACTATGCTAGCTGATTTCTAGTGGCCAAATGTCCACATCTCTGGTTTTGACATCATGCACAGTTCTCAACGGGTATGGGTGCAGTATTCGGCTTCTTCCTGTGACTCACTTCTCCCTTTGCTCATAGGTAGGAAGAAGGACACCTTGTTTTCATACTGAAATGGCTGTCCTCACCTACGTGTCAGCAGCAATTCCTAAAAGTTCAGTAGAGTTTACTCCCAAGTATGGGTGTAAGATTAGAGGCTAAGTGCCCTTGAATTGCCAATTCAAAATGGATGCCGCAGCTCTGCATTATTTGTTATCTGGCCTTTCTGTCTTTCAGTCCTACTCCTTACAATCTGGGGATAATTTTGTTGAAATTTTGCTTGAGGTGATAACAGAACCTACAGTCCCGCCCAACAGGAAATTATCTGCCCTCAGAGAAGTCTTTTTGATGTGCCTCTGCACAAGTCAGTGTTCTAAACTGCCTTCATGCAGTCATAAGGCACAAAATAACAATGCTGAATGCAGAAACATAGGGTTTGGGCAGGTGATTTCTGTTCTTAGAAACACTAGAGTAAACCTTGCTTAATTTAATTGTGTTATAATATTAGAACCTCTTGTGCTTTTATTTGTATGCATTTTTTAAAAAATCATGCTGCAAGCTGTTGTGGGTCTCAGCTTCCAGAAAAAGACAAGATAGATGGTGAATAAAGAAATAAACAAACAATCCTTTTTAACAGACAAGAATGAGGCATGCCATTTATTTTAATGGGGGGTGCCTTACAGTCTTGGAAGACTCTGGGTGACAGAATCACTGGAGAAAGCCATTCACGACATCCTCAAGTTCTATTTCTAGTGGAGCCATACACCCACACTGCACAACATTTGCACTTGCAGTAGCAATCAGTGTTCTCAGATAAACCAAGTATATTTCATTCAGAGTGACCTAGAAACAAATATGAAACCACTCACACAAACCGTAGAGCCCTTTGTACCTTTTTGGGTACTGCATGTCTCGTTGTGTGGTTATGTACAGGCACATATATGTATAAGGCTCTCAACATTCATTGAATAAATTATGATCTATAATAGCCTTTCCTGCCTAGAGTGGTCTTATAGGCCAGGTGGGCAGGGTATAAATCAAATCAAATCAATCAATAAACATCCTGTGCTCCAGATATTTTGGGCTACACAACATCTGTCATCCCCTGCTCACATGTATAATGGTTACAGATCACAGAGGCTGAAGCCCAAAGCATCTAGAGGGCACCAGCTTGAGCCAGGATGGCCTATTAAGCTTTATTATTGCTCTAACAATAGTCTTTTAAACATATTGGTTAGAACTTTAAGAACACAAGGAAAAGGCCAGCTAGATCAGAACAGACACCTATCTTATTCAGTATTCTGCTGCTATAGTGAATCACCAGATGCCTATGAAATGAGCACACTTTTATTTATTTATCTATTTAATATGTTTATACACTGTTCAACTGGCCCATGTGGGTGGTTTACGAACATTACTATCCAATAATACCCTTCTGCCCATGCTCCCCAGCAGCTGGTTCTTGTTGTTGTTTAGTCGCTAAGTCTGGTCCAACCAGAGCACGCCAGGCCCTCTTGTCTTCCACTGCCTTGCGGAGTTTGGTCAAATTCAATGACACTGTCCAACCTCTCATCCTGTTGTCCCCTTCTCCTCTTGCCCTCACACTTTCCCAACATCAGGGTCTTTTCCAGGGAGTCTTCTCATGAGATGGCCAAAGTATTGAAGTCTCAGCTTCAGGTGAGCGCTCAGGGTTGATTTTCTTCAAAATGGATAGGTTTGTTCTCCTTGCAGTCCAGGGGACTCTCAAGAGTCTCCTCCAGCACCACAATTCAAAAGCATCAATTCTTCGGCGGTCAGCATTCTTTATGGTCTAGCTCTCAATTCCATACATGCCTACTGGAAAAACCATAGCTCTGATCATGCGGACATTCGTTGGCAAGGTGATGTCGCTGCTTTTTAAGATGCTGTCTAGGTTTGTCATCCCTTTCCTCCCAAGAAGCAGGTGTCTTTTAATTTCGTGGCTGCTGGCACCATCTGCAGTGATCATGAAGCCCAGAAAAGTAAAATCTGTCACTGCCTCCATATCTTCCCCTTGGACAGTGGTGCCTCGCATTATGATGTTGATTCGTTCCAGCAAAATCGCTGTAGAACGAAAACATCGTGAAGCGAAATTAAAAAGCCCATAGAAACGCATTAAAACCCAATTAATGTGTTCCTATGGGCTTGAAACTCACCGTCCAGCGAAGATCCTCCATAGCGCGGCCGTTTTCACTACCCGTGCAGCGAGGAATCCATCCCAGAAAAGAGTGGGGAGCCATTTTTTTTAACCCGGCAGCCATTTTGAAACCGCCGATCAGTTGTAGGAAAATCGTTGTTTTGCGAGAATCGGTTCCCGAAGCAGGGAACCGATCATCGCAAAGCGAAATTCCCCCATAGGAAACATTGTTTTGCGATCGCCTTTGCATTCGCAAAAACGTCATCGTAATGCGATTTCGTCGTAAAACGGAGCGCTCGTCTTGCGAGACACCACTGTATTTGCCAGGGGATGATGGGACCAGTGGCCATCATCTTGGGAAGGGGTTATGTTGAGCTTCAGACCATTTTTACACTCTCCTCTTTCAATCTCATTATGAGGTTCTTTAATTCCTCCTCACTTTCTGCCATCAGAGAGGTATCATCTGCATATCTGAGGTTCTTGATATTTCTTCTCGCAATCTTAATTCCGGCTTGGGATTCATCCAGTCCTGCCTTTCACATGATGTATTCTGCATATACTTTAAATAAGCAGGGAGACAATATATAGCCTTGTCATACTCCTTTCCCAATTTTGAACCAATAAATTGTTCTAACTGTTGCTTCCTGTCCCACATATAGATTTCTCAGGAGATCGATAAAGTGGTCAGGCACTCCCATTTCTTTAAGAACTTGCCATAGTTTGCTGTGGTCCACACAGTCAAAGGCTTTCGCATAGTCAATGAAGCAGAAGTAGATGTTTTCTGGAACTCTCTGGCTTTCTCCATAATCCAGCGCATGTTAGCAATTTGGTCTCTGGTTCCTCTGTCCCTTTGAAATCCAGCTTGTACTTCTGGGAGTACTCGGTCCAAATGCTGCTAAAACCTACCTTGGAGGATTTTGAGCATAACCTTGCTAGCGTGTGAAATGAGTGCAATTGTATGGTAGTTGGAACATTCTTTGGCACTGCCCTTCTTTGGGATTGGGATACAGAGTGATTGGGATTGGGATGTAGCTGGTTCTTAGGGGTATACAATTCTGATATTTGAGGTGATAAGACAGGTGTCATGTCTAGGAGGCACTGTGAGCCTTATTCCTCACTTACAGGTGTCCGGTGCACTAGCCAATACGCTTTCTCCTGACAGTCCAAAGCGTACCGATCTTCCTTCTTTCGTTCTTTTCCTGTCCTGCAGAGGCAACAAGAGAGTTACATTTTAACAAACCAAAGTAGGCGTTTCCTGCCTTTTTGTGCCTGGTTTATACATCTCTGACTACCATTCCAGCCAAATGACAAAACAATGATAAAAGGAATTTCATTTGGACTGAAATTGCTGATGATGAGTACTTGTGATCAAGAACTGCTGTTTTAAATGTTGCTGTGAATATTTGCCTGCTTGGATTCTGGGATCATATTTCCATCTGTTTCCCTCTCGTGTGAGTACAGTACCATGCCCTTCAACTGTTGTACGAACTCTACATGAAGTGTGGTCCTCCAGATGTTGTCGGACTACAGCTGCCAGTGTTCCCTCCGCTTGCTATGGTGGATAGGGCTGACTAGCAGCTGCAGTCCAAAAAACATCTGGAGGGCTACAGTTTGCTCACCCAGACAGAGAATAACGACTGCAAAGCCTGGGAGGAATTACTCTTGCCCACAAAGAAACAGACAGAACAGCTACCCAAAGAATGGTAGGATTAAGCAAGGATACAGAAAGATTTCCAGAGAGCTAGTATAATGGAGCAGACAGAGGGTTGAACTAGGACTTAGGACAGGGGACAGGTGGGCAATTAATTTCTATGGGGGGGCACATGAAAAATCTGAACTGTGTTTGGGGGCCGAACCAACTTTACTTAAAATTAAATGAAATAGTGATGTTATGATTGTTTTTATTTTAAACTTGTTAATCTTCACAAATACGAACGAGTTTTTTTGTGGTATGTTAAAGATAAGCAACTGATCAACTTTAGACAAAAAGCTATAAATGGTTTTGATGTTCAAAACTGTCCGCGGGCCGGACAGGAGAGGCTTGCGGGCCGTATGTGGCCCTCAGGCCGCACTTTGCCCAGGTCTGACTTAGGAGATCTAGGTTCAAATTCCTGTTTGACCAGTGACGTTCACTAGGAGATGGCATTTGTAAAACTACACCGGTGACATTCACTAGGAGATGGCATTTGTAAAACTACTCTTTAAGTATCTCATATACCTCAGAAAGCCTGTTAGTGTAGCACAAATTGGAATTGACTTGATGGCACATAACTACTACACAGTCAAAATCTGGAAGGCTCCCTATGCCTTCAGCACACACCTCTTCTACTACACAGTCAAAATCTGGGAGGCCCCAGAGGTCTTTCTGTTGGCTCCCTATGCCTTCAGCACACACCTCTTTTAAAAAAATCTTTACCATATTTTTTTCCCTCAGAATGTCTGTTTTTCCACGCTGAGTCCTTCTAAGACTCATGAAGTCCCACATACCAAAACAAAAAACAAACAAAAAAACACCATATTTTTTTAAACTGGATGGGTGGGTGGGCAACACCAGAAAGAACATAAGTAGTTTTTTTTACAAGTTTAAAAAAACCTAGATTTTTTCTCATTAACACTATTTTTCATTTAACAGAAAACCATTATAACAATCTTTAATAAAAAACCCGAAATACCATATTCCAGTTAACTTGTTTGGCCACGCCTTCCCTATTTAGCCCCTCTCCCTTGGGAATGCGACCCTTTGGCTGCCAGAAAATTTGACAAAATGGCCCTCACTGCCGTTAAGATTGACCACACGTAATCTAAATCATTATCTGGGTAGGATCAGGATGAAATGGGATAAAGAAAATGACCACTTTATAGTATTACCATTTATCCCAATTACAAACACAACCCATCTTCTAAATGGAAATGTTCCCATACCCATAGCTCCCATGTGCATTGTGTTATGATACCGGTGGCAGCATTGTCTTCGAATGCATTTTGACTTTAACTTAATAACCTTACCTAAACCATTTTCTCTTACTTGGCTAATAACACCTGAATTGAATTTATTGCTTTATCTTTCTTTGCATTATGCCAGATCATTTTCTACACAATGTGTGGTCACATGACTGAATCGCCGAAGGACACGATACCTTAATATAGCTACCTTTACCTTGGCAAAAACAGTAATTGACATTTAGGCCATTCTTTATAGTTCAAAGGATGCATCTATAAAGATGACAAATCAGTCCTCTTTATAGCAACCTGTGCAGAAGTAGTTTAGGGTTAGTATGCCTCTCTTCTAGCTAAGGATATGAGGTTGAGAATTGTTTGCCTGTGGCGAAGGATCTCGGGAGCCAGTGCCAGAAACGTCTGTAGGGCCAAAGGTTCCCCACACCCCAGCTTAAGGCCACCTTTAATGTTCTTGGTTACCATCAAGATGAGCTTCAAAGCAGGGTGGCACTCCCTGGCCTGTACCCGCAGGAAGTATTCTACATCAGTGGTTCCCAACCTTGGGTAACCGAGGTATTCTCGGACTGCAACTCCCAGAAACCCTGGGCAGCAGAGCTGATGGTAACTGCAGCCTAAGAACTTTTGGATTACCTACAACTGGGAACTGCTGTTTTACATCAACTCCAAAATCTGCTACCGAGAGATAACAAGGAAGAAAATCTTCCCTGTGTATGGGAATGAGTTCTACACACTTCAAGGAGACCATACAAACTGCCATCAAAGGAATTACTTGGGTGCAGCTGCAAGCTGGTCTAACGATCGTGGTGACCTACAACCTTTGATAGTTCCTTTTTCGAGAGAAGGGCAGAATTCTTTTATAAAAAAACCTGATAGTAGCTGACCCTGATCCTGTCACTCAGAGCAGAAAGCCAAAACAAAATCATGTGAGGAAACATCTCACCTGTATTGCTCCTTGGCCTGCATGATAATGAAGTCCCATTTGTGGTTGATTTTTTGGTTCAACATGTTATAATGTTCCTGGAAAAAACAACAATTGTAGTGAGGAGGCAGAAGATGTCAAATTTTTTGCTCTCTAAGGGGAGAATGTGATAAAGTGCTGCAGCCAATGGCTGAGCATAATAATCATAGAAGACTTTAGACTGATAAGATTTTTCCCCAAGATTAATTACTCACATAAACTACTAAAGTGGTATATGTTTAAAACAACACATCTGCTTTTAACAGATGTATTTAGAAGATAAATGTTCTCATTAGTTTCAAAAGGAAGCTGCAGCAGTGCCAAATGAAACTACATGTTGTCTGAAACAAAGAGTTGCTACTAATCTTGGTTCTCAGTTGCTGAGTTACTGAAGTAGGAAGCTCTCAATTCGGAATCGGAGCACTGCTCCATCTAGTTCTTCATAAGGTGTGCCCTGAAGGAGAGGGACTCTCCAAGGTTTTAGACAGAAGTTCTTTTCACCTCTGCCTAGGGAAATGCCAGTGACCTGAACCAGAGACCTTCAGAATGCAAAACAGACTTTCCTGAGGACACTTCCCCAATGCGTGCCTCCCATCTACCTCCCCCACCCCAGGGCATGAGTTCCTCCTCTGTCATGTACTTCTTGTTTCCAGAGGATACACTGTGTTTCCCCCACTCATGTTACTGACTGGAAAGGCAAGGAAAAACTTTGGGTGATGAGGCAGGGACTTAAGGCCAATTGAGTCATACACATGGTTGCCAGTTTTCTGGGCAAGCCATTTGTTCTAACAACTTAATAGTTCCACTTTCTAACCTTGCAGGACAATTGATCAGTGACTAACTGAGAAGCAGGCAGCCTTTCAGATGTCGCTGGACTACAGGAACTATCTCTCCTGCCATCTGACCATTTTGGCTTGGCCTTGTAGAAATCAAAATCCAACAAGAGTTGGACAGCCACAGGCTTCCTGTCACTGACTTAGCCAATCAGTTGGCCTTTATTATCTACCACAGAAACAGCTGTTTAATAATAGTTGCATGCAGTGTGTCAACATTAGGCAACTACCACAGTCCTATCAGTATCTTAACCACATTTGCTGTTCATCTGGTTGTGAATGAATTCTGGCTTCTCTGGCTTCACAAATAAATGAGGTTAAGCATTTCTATCCAACCTGCTGACTAGATGTATATACTAGATGTATATTCACTCTATCACTGAAAAGACAGGGGTACACAGTAGATAGCATCTTCCACTTCTCTAAATCCATAAAACCATAAACATCTCTCATATGCTGTGTTTTTATATTGTACAAGTCTAAATACTAAGGCCTAAATCCAACTGCTAGTTCCAATTAAATACCTCCATTGAATAAATTGGTGAATGATAACACTTATATAAGTGCCACTGATCCAGTGGGTCTACTGTAGATGAGACTAGTAACTGGATTTAAGTCTCTTCTGATAGCGAAGTTCTCAGAAATCTAAGCTGAAATTAAATAATTTCCATCCAGAAAGGCAAGTTCAGTTAATTATCTAGTTGACTGATGAAGAAAGAAATGGCAAGATTCTGGAAATTAGATTGCTTGCCAAACTTATCACCAATGAATATCTTAAAAACCGGATTTCAAAGGCTCAAAGACTTTCACTGCACCTGAATAGAATTTCTATGGGCAGGCCATATCATTTCAAGATCTCACCAATCTGAACTAGCCGGGAATGATAAGAGCTCCATGCAAGATATGACGAAAATCATTTGGCAAACTGATTCATAGTGGAAACTGAGAAACGTAAGTCACAGGCATGATGCAAGATGTAGACTCAAAAAGCTTGCACAAGAAAACAGAACACTTTCTTACCTTTTCATACTCTTCTAGAATTCCTTTCCTTTTAATATTTTTCTTGGCTAGGTAGATGGCTGGGGGTGGGAAAGGGAAACCCAAAGAAACTTTGTTTACTCAGCTGCAAAGACACACATGGGCAGTTGCCCCTATGACAGAAGAGTAAGCAGACTTAGTAAACAGCAGCTTTTTAAAAGACAAGCTCTGAACCACAAGCATTTGTATAGCTTTTTAAAGAGGGTGGTGACAACTCTGGTTCTGTCAGCCCCAAGACCATAAGTGTCGGCATCTCCACCCTCGGCTCAATTCACCTATGCAAACAGACGGTGACACCTTTACCCTAAGCAGAGGGAGGCAGCCACCTTAGGCAGAGATTCTGAGTACTGAGAAAGAGCAGCAAACTATTAGTTATTGAATGTGTCACTTTTTATAGTTATCCTGGCAGATTTTGAGATAAACACTTGTAGATTTTCTACCTCATATACCAAAATAACTTGGCTGGCTTTAGGTATTACTGTATGTACCTTTGCCTGGATGGGGTGTGATACCATCTGCTGCTCTGCTTCAGGCAGCAAAATGCCTTAGGCCAGCCCTGCAGCCGCAAGAGCAACTTAAACATGTAAAAATCTGCCTGTGCATTTTTGTTTCCATGTGGATTGTCCTGCCACGTCATCACAACCCTCCTCCTTGGTAGTCTGTAATCACATTGTGAACATTGCCAGAACTGCATGACGAGGGAGCCATGGTGCACGGGAAACAGCGTCCCTTGGAGAACAACTTCCAGGCAGACTGAGCATCAAGAAGCTCCCACATGCATGGCCTCAGGTATACGCTGTGCTTTTCGGAGCATGGGATGCTACTTTATACTACATTAAACCCAAACATTGAGATATACTGAAGAGGCCCTCTTTTGTTTGTGTGAAAGCACCTTCTAAGTGGCAACATCGTGGTGATCAAATGGTAAATGGCCCAGCTGGTGTCACGGTTAGCATCATTTTTGGCGCCATGTTAAAAGATAGCAGTCCTGCCAAGTTGTTGTGGGTTTTTCGGGCTCTTTGGCCATGTTCTGAAGGTTGTTCTTCCTGACGTTTCGCCAGTCTCCGTGGCCGGCGTCTTCAGAGGACAGGAGTCAGAACTCTGTCCCAGAGTTCCTACTGCTATCCTCGGGAAATGTCGGCCACAGAGACTGGCGAAACTTCAGGAAGAACAACCTTGAGAACACGGCCAAAGAGCCCGGAAAACCCACAACAACCATCAGATCCCAGCCATGAAAGCCTTCGAGAATACATTAGTTCTGCCAAGCTTTGGGAAACCAGTGACTTTGTTTTCCCTTTGTTTTCTGATTTCTTTGTTCGTATACTTTTTTGTGTTGAAATGGTTTTGGTTTGAGTGAAAGGCTTCCAGTCTAGCCGGATGGCCAGCCTGATTGCTTCTGGTGTGCATGGATTCTATTTTCATTAAGAGGAATTCTAACAGGTGATCGGCTCAGCTACTGAAGTTGTACAATCTTAGGAAAGGCCTAATACTGTGTGATTGGTTGGAGAGGCTTCATCGAGAAGGCCAGGAGTGCTTCCACAGCACTGTGACTTACCGTAGTCTGTATCATCTGCTGCCCACTGCTGGGTTGGCCAAAAGTAGGGAGTCTGTAAGATAGGACACAGAAACAAAAGACCCTTTTACTGTCCATCATGATACCATTCTACCATTTGCTGCATTGTCAGTTGCCCTCTATGTTAAACACTGGGTTTTTGTCTTTATTTTAACATTCAGTTTTCTTGTAATCTATTTTATCTTGGTTTAATTTATAATGTACAGTCTTGTTTACTTTATATCAGCAACACCTGATATAAAACAGAAAAATGCTAGGAACAGAAACATTCATTAGAGAATCTAATTGTACAGTACTCCCTATTTTCACTCCACTGCTGAGTTCGGAAGTGCTCATTCTGCACAACCTTTTCCCATGTTAGTGCTGGAGCACCAAGGGTCCACCCCACCCATCCAAATTGAGCATGGAAACAATGGGAAAGTGCCTGCTCCAAGATGTTGCCACTGTGTGTCCAGTTTTCCAAAGTGTTGCCACTAAATAGGGAGCCACCTTTGTATGCACCCAATGTAACTTGCACCGGAGAGACAAATTGGATACAATGTCAGCTTTGCATTTGCAAGCAGAGCCTTATTAAGAAGTAAACAAAGTTTGCTTATCCTAGAGTGCAGTTTCTCCAGCCACACAAGCTTCACAAATAATCTTAGTTTTCTTGGGGTAGGGTGAGGGAAGGAGTGATTAATCACCAGGAAGTGAACGACGGGCTTCATTTGCTAACTGATTATATCAACTTCTAAGGAATTTATCTCAGGAGTGATAATATTTTACCACCAACTTGTTCTGAAACTAGCACTTCATAAAGTTTGGTCCTAATCTATATAAATAAATAATGTAATAACCTGCCTAAAACGTCTTCTTGAAACAATGCGCCTAAACAAACAGCAAATAGTTTAGATTAGAACATTTCATAGACGTCAGTGACAGTCTAAGAGAAGCCCGGTGATGGATCAGAACAAAGGCCAGGCTAGTGCTGTTGACCTCAATGGTTGTTCCTCCATATATTTTCGACATCAGCTACCATTGTCCTTGTCGCTCTGCTATGTTGCCAGGGGTTTCTGAAAGTTAAAGTCTAAAACAATGTGGTGTTTTGCTCCATTTCCTCCAGGGGCCAACCAGATGCTCACAGGAAGCCCACAAGCAGGATTTGTGGTCAATAACACCCTCCACTCCTGCTCCCCAGCAACTGATTTTCAGAGGCCTTGATAGGGACAATATATACGAGCCATGGGTAGCCTTCAACTTTATGAATTTGCCAAGAAGTTTAGAGCAACTACCTTACATGAAAAGGTTACAACATTTGAGGCTTTTTCATTTAGAGAAAAGACCAGTAAGGGACAGTGTATAAAATTATGCATGATGTGGAAAAAGAAGATCAAACAAAGTTTTTCTTCCTCCTTTCATAATATTATGATGAGAGGTTCAGGAGAGGTAAAGGAAAGCACTGCCAGGACTTGTGACTACGACTACACCTGCATTTTGGACTACAGATCCTTTTAGCTAGTTCCATGTCAGCTACGGAATTATGGGAGTTGTGGTCTAAAAAGATTGATTTGTCTAGGTTCTAGATACATGAAACTATGGAATTTGCTATTTTTTAGAGGGAAGCCGTGTGCCACGGCTGTGATTCTGTCCCCACCTAATATTTCATAGTTCCAAATCTCCTGCATTTGGCTTTCCGTCTGTAGCTGAATCCCTGTTCATGCCTTGAGACAAATGGAGAAACTGAAATGTTTAGATCCAGGATATCATGGGGGAAAAGGAATGAGTAAAATATTCTCTCTTGATTGCTGCTTCTCCAGTCAAATGCAAGGGCTCACTTCTGCCTGCTGCAGGGATTTTTTATAGGGACCTCCCATAGGGCCAGTCCAGGAACACTATCTTGTCCTTTACCTCATATATAGCAAATGCCTTGGGGCAATGTTGATTTCTCCTTGACTCTTGCCTTTTTTACAACTGCTGACGTATAAACCTGCCCCTAAATCATGTTTAACATTAATGATCACATATTGTTACAATTCTCCCTTCATGGGGCTAGGGCTCAAGGACTACTTCACAAAAAGTTTGAAAAAAATTGAGTGCGATTGTGCATAACTTGATAAGCCTATGATGGCAACTCATGCCTTCTTGAACTGCGACAGTCACATATTGCCCTTTAAAAGGAGAACATGCCCAGAAAAACTAACTTCTTTGTTCACTTGTTTGAAAGCAATCAATCAACAGCTATTTTCTTCCTGCTACTAGGCTTAACCTCCTTCACTCTGAGAAAAATTGTATTTTAGTTAGTTCTTGTTGCCTATCCTCCATCTTGTGAGGCAGATGTTATGCTGAGCTCTCTCCTCAGCCATGAGTTTGAGAGATAAACTATTTTCTAACATTTTAACAGAGTAAATGATTCTTCTTTTTCTCACTAACCATCACATGTCTTCGTGGTCAAGTTTTTGAGCACATAATTTTGTAAGTAAAGATTGTTTCTCCTTTTACTATTGTCTGGCTGATTATTTTTTTGCTGGTCTATTTAGATCAGGGAAATTCTTGGGGAACTTGCTAAGTGTCCCACTTTTTGCTGTGCAACCACATTTAAAACTCAACAGTTTCCTTTAAGAAGGATTGTGGTACGTAGCAACTGCCTTTGGGTAACATATTTTTACTATTGTTTTCTGTACTTATTAATTTCCTACTAATCTTTCAAGCATTGTTCTCTGTACTGTTGCTGTATTTTTGAGATAGCCTTAACGCTTATTTTAGGTCAGCTGCTTTACATGTCATTTTGGTGGGAAATGTTATAAATATTTAGTTGATTATAAATAAACACACAAGGAAAAAAGTCTTGCTGGTCTAAACCAACATTGCAGGCCATGTTTGCTAGAGCTGACAGATGTTGCAATCTAAAAACCTCTGGATCTCCACATGTTCCCCACCCCGCTCATGGCAAGTAGCAGGCCCCCTTTCTAATGCTTTGAATTCCAACTGCACTCACCTGAAATCTATAGAGGCTGCTATCAGGTCTAAGCGTGAGGTTCTTTGGTTCCTGAAGTGGGTAGATGTATCCATACCCGATAATCAGGCACCCCAGGTTCAGTGCCTCTAGAAACACAATAAGGTCAGATGATTGCATTGGTATACACACTGCACAGCTGCTGGACAAGGGTCTCTTCAAATTGGGAGAGGCCGTGATGTACTGCCTGCCTCAGCCACACTAGACGCTGTTCCAAGTCCTCCATACAGAGCACGATACCATAGTCTTTCGAGACTGAAGGATGCCTACTACTACACACTGCACAGCCAGGCATTTCGAAACAAGACGCTATTTTAAAGGCAACGGCAGGAACCCTACTGCTTGTTCTAACTCAGGGCCTGTCCAGACAGGGTAATTTGGAGCAGTCTGTTTTACACTTAAAAAGTTCTTACCTTCAGTGCGATCTATTTTGTCTCTCACGTGAGCAATCCTTCCATTCACACAGGAGATGCTTATTCTATTCTAAAAAGGCTCCACACAATTTCTCAAATCACCAGTTTACTTGTGTAAGTATACCTGATTTACTCACAAGTAAGGAAGTAGTGGTGGAGCAAGCTCTTGGTGGCGGTACTTGCGTGAGGAGAATATGGGATGAAGGCTGTGGAGAGAGAAGGTAGGCAGTTTGCACTTAAAAAGTTCTTACCTTCAGTGTGATCTATTTTGTCTCTTGCGTGAGCAATCCTTCTATTCACACTGGAGATGCTTATTCTATTCTATAAAGGCTCCACACAATTTCTCAAATCACCAGTTTACTCGTGTAAGTATACCTGGTTTACTCACAAGTAAGGAAGTAGTGGTGGAGCAAGCTCTTGGTGGCGGTACTTGCGTGAGGAGAATATGGGATGAAGGCTGTGGAGAGAGAAGGTAGGCAACCCTCCCTTTTTCCTGCTTTTCTCCTCAGCCAGGATTCTGCTGGGGCTGCGCTGCCTTGTGAGGGGTGGACTCCATGGAATCAACACAGGCCCCTTCCCTGACTTTTCCTATGGCTATTTTCGGTGGTCACAGTGACTCTCTTTTCTTGTTGTTAAATAAAGAAAACGGCATATGAAAAGAGCAATGTATCAACCTAGCAGGATATTAGAATTTTGCTGTATCAGTTACGGAACTATTAAAAAAAGAGAAGATGAACATAGAGGAGGGGTTTCTCCATCTTCCCTTTAATGACAAAACCCATCTAATACATTGCAGGATTCTCTTGTCAGTTCATGTAACTCACAGGTCAATATGGGTGCTAACTAGCCATCTGTATAGGCTACGTAACAATTAGGAGTGTGCTGAATTATAAACCTCCCCAAAGAAGAAGGAGAAGAAGAAGCCCCGAGTGCTGTGCCAGTAAGGTGTGAGACATCTCCTAAAGGATGGATTTAAGTAGAAACACATGTGGATGATTGATGGATGGATGGAGTGAAAATGTTTTTTAACACACCTTTGTCTTTAAAAAGGATCCAAGGTGGTGTACATCGATAAAATGTGTCACCAAGATGGCTCTCCCCCCTCGCAGGGAGCAGGGACCTATTGTCATGGTCCGCCCTATCAATAAAAGACAGCATTTAAAGCAACAACAGTGAGGATACAAATACAAAAACAATTTTTAAAAAATGCAACACCAAGACACAGTCAGAGCAATAAGGCACAACAATCCATTTAAAAATCCCACTTAGGCAGCCAGTCACTGAAGAAAAGGTCTTCACCTGCTTGTGGAAGGGCAGCAAAGATGGGGCCAGCCTGGCCTCCTGTGGGAGAGAATTCCAGAGTTTGGGAGCAGCAACAGAGAAGGTGCTCTCCTGTATAACCAGCAAACACACCTGTGAAGGTGTCAGGACTGAGAGAAAGACCTCTCCTGAAGATCTTAACACTTGAGCAGTCTCAACTGCCTCAACTGTCAGATGCAGTTCCTTTAGTGAGCTATAAAGCCAATTTAGGGCTTTATAGGTTAAAACCAGTACTCTGAATTGTACCCGGAACAGAACGGCAGCCAGTGGAGCTGCTGTAATTGGGGGTGGGGTGTCATGTGATCCCTGTAACCAGTCCCAGACAGCAACCTGGCTGCTATGTTGTGTGTGTGTCATATGATCCCTGTAACTAGTCCCAGACAGCAACCTGGCTGCTATGTTTAGGGCCCGCTGAAGTTTCTTAACATTTTCCACAGGTAGCCCACATAGAGGGTGTTACAGTAATCCAGCCAGAATGCAGGTAAGGCATGTGTCACCATGGCCAGATCAGACCTCTCCAGGAATGGGCACACTTCATGCACTAGTTTTAATTTCATATGATCCCTGTAACTAGTCCCAGACAGCAACCTGGCTGCTATGTTTAGGGCCCGCTGAAGTTTCTTAACATTTTCCACAGGTAGCCCACATAGAGGGTGTTACAGTAATCCAGCCAGAATGCAGGTAAGGCATGTGTCACCATGGCCAGATCAGACCTCTCCAGGAATGGGCACACTTCATGCACTAGTTTTAATTGTGCAAAGGTATTCCTAGCCACCACTGAAACCTGGGCATCCAGGCTCAGAGACGAAGCCAGGAATACCCCCATGTTGTGCACCTGGATTTTCACAGGGCATGTAACTCCATCCAGCACAGGCTGCCTCTTTGGTCTGCCTTTCGACTAACAATGCAATTGGGTTCAAAACAAACCATATCAACAGCAATCCAAATAGCAATCTATATACCCATCTAGACAGGCTGTAACAGACACCCATCGAATCACATGCTGGACACATATACTGTATAAAGTCTACTCAGGTCTTAGATCCATTGTACTGTATTTGATACTAACAAAAATATATTGGCAAATAATCTAGGTACTGTGAACAATAATCATATTTTGAGAACCTTCCAAGGCACCAGCTGGTTTTATGACCTTACTCACCTTCATTGGTAATCTGTAGGCGCTGCATAATCCACTGTAATATATCAGAACCTGTAAGGCAAGGAGAATAACACATACTGTAAATCATCCAAAGTGCTCGTCTTCACTATCTGACCTCAGCATTCTGTCAGGAAGACGGTCCTTCAAAATACAGGCCTTGAGAGAAAAGCGAGTCAAGACATCTTCATCTGATGAAGTGAGCTACGATTCACAATAAATGTCTTTTTTAAAAGATGCTACTGCACTCTTTATTGGTTAGATACAGCCATGTACTGTAATAATGACAGTTGCTTATGAGACTGGAGACACTTCGTTTTTGAAGAAGCTGAAGACAGTGTGAAAAAGTACTCACTGTATATAGGTTATGCACACCCATTATCCTATCTATAACTCGGATAAAAATTTGCAAGTTTCGCTACCAGCCACTAATTTCTCTAACCTTTACTGATCAGAGTGATAGTAGAAATGTCTATATATGTGCCATAGGGAATAAAGCTCTTTTTTTTAACCTTCTTAATGCTCCTTTTTAAAAATAAATCCTTGCCTCTAATCTCCAAATGGATGTTTTGTTCCACCTTCTTCTTCACTCTAAACGCTATCTGACATCAAGCAGAACCAATAGATCAAAGTATGGTTAGGTTAGCCAAGGAGCCTGAGTGTTGAATTGGAATGGAGAAGATCCAGATTTAAAACCTGCCCTTTTGGGCTATTCCTCAGCCTAACCAACCTCAGAGGTTGTTTTGAAGATAAAAGGGGCAGAGAAATAGCCGTGTTGGTTGCATGAGCAATTTGGAGAATAGGTGAGATATGGAGGCAACAAACTTAAATAGTGGGTGTCAATGAGGTCAATTAAAACATAACAGCATGGTTAAATTATTGGCTTTTTTAGACCCTGACAGGAAGTCCTAAATAAAGTAACGGCTGATCAGAAACCTTAAAGGAAACTTCTAGTTAGAAAAGAGCCATGAGGAAAATAAGAAATGAACTTATTGCATAGCATCCCATGGGACAGAATAGATGACAGTTTGATGCTGACATCATATGGCCATTTATGATGATCTACCACAAAGCAATCCACCTTGTGGCCTTTAGCACACTGGAACATGCTTCACCTGACAACTGTGCCAGAAGGAATGTAAACCAATTTCTGTGATGGTCTAAAATGAAGAATGCAGAAATGAAGACGTGCCTTGCAACTCAGTTTCCTTTTCCATGAGAAATAATCCTGCAAGCTTCTCAATCACAAATCATGGTTGGCCTGTTATTAACCTTGAGCTGCTTACAGAGCATGAGTTAAACACCTGAATAGCAGCTGTGGTGTGTTTAAGGACCTAAATCTGCTTCCTTGTTGTTGTTGTTTTAAAACAACAACCCTCCTCTCTACTGCTGCTTCACAGTGAGTACATTTTTGCTGCATAATTTCTTTAAAGATAAACACTCCAGAGACAGGCAACTGAAATGCTAAACTATAAACCAATGCTGGGGAAACGGAAACTTAACTGGGTTCTCTTGACAAGGTGACTCATTGAGAACCGTACTATTTTCTAGAGGCGTTACTTGCAAAGCAAAATGAAAAATAATGAAAGCACTGAGACTTCAAAGACTGGAGCTCAACAAGAGTAACATGATACACAAAGGCAGAGGCCTAAATCCAGTGGTTTGGCCCAACTATAGAATCGATAGCAGGTTAGTAAATAAATACTCACCTATATAACTGATTCCACATAACTGATTGCTCTACTATAGTTTTCAGCTCCCAAATATTTTATTCCTATGGAATGTTTAAAATGACAAAAATACGGGCCAGGATCCAATGGTATTCTTCTGCTCAAAGCACAACCGGAAAGCTGCAACTCCACCTCCCATACTGCATCCCCCTATGCCTTCAACAGGACGTCTTTCTGCTCCACCAAGTCCTCTGTCTTGTCCCTTAATGTACAGGATTATCAGAACCCTCTGGGGAAAAAAATAACACCTGAGAGGATGCGGACGATGAAGTACAAGGATAGATGGCTCTGTCCTTGTTCTCCCGGTACACCTTTGGAATCTAACCATGTTTCTTATCCCACATTAACTAATTTGCCAGCTAATAATAGGTGAGGGTTTAATTCACATTATTAATTAATTTGGAATTAATTATTCATTAATTTGGATTACTTCGTAATCAGCAGTTTAAGGCAACAGGTTTTAACCAGTGGTGCAGGTACCACCGACTGAGACACAGAACCAATCCAGGTGAGACACACGACCTATATAAAGACAACTCAGGAATTATTATTTCATGTGTTATAGTTACCATACATGTACAATTTCTACTCATTAGTAAAACTTTGTAATGTCATTCCAATAGAATAATGGCATGGGTACTAGCGGAAGTATTATCTTTGTTTGCTTTTGTTTACTTCCAGTAATACTACTGCAATGTTTAATGGCCTTAAAACTTAGCAGAAGCGATAGATACAATGACAGAATGCTTGCAAACATTGAAATGGCTTTCTTGGGAACAGGGACTTTTTGTTTCTCACATGGCAGGAAGCCAGGTTAGTTAGCAGAATAACTGGCAGAACCCAAGTTCTTTGACAGACTCAATGCATGGACATATAAAAAGACAGAGAAACATTATTTTAGGGCACAGCTGGGAGGAGTCAGGCTTTTCTTAGTGCACAGTTAAGCCTAAAATGTATAGTTGGGGGTGGGGATAACTGTGCAGTTGAAATCTGATAGATCTGGTGCCTCACTATTAATTCTACCTTATTTCTTCTATGATGATCTCTTTTCATTTTTCAACTGTACAAAAAGTTGGTATATCTTGGCTGAAATCCTGTTCCACAGTCGTGCAAACTTTATCGTGTAACTTTTAGAGGTCAATTGCTGTAAGTTAAGAAAGCTCTATAGACCTTATCTGTTGCACACCAAGCCACACTGAAAGTACGCAACAAATAACATCTGTGGAGATTTCTTAACTTTGAGCATTTCATTTCCAAAAGTTATGCCATTTGTACGACTGTGTAACAGGATTTGAGCTGTGTCCTACTGTACACTTTTTTAAAAGCCCTGGCAGCAGAGAGGGCCATTTTGCAAATAGTCCCAGGGCCACACTCCCAAAAAGATGGGACTAATGGGGAGTACATGGAAATATAAGCTATTTTGCATATTTAATATTCGATTTAAAAATTAATCTGGTGGTTACATAATGTGAAGAGTCCTACAATGGTTTTTTGTTAACTAAAAAAAAATTGGTTTAAATTTTAGAAATATTTAAAGGTGTGGGGGCGAAGGGGCCCTGGGTTGTTGGATGTCCTAAAATGACCCCAAGGAGCACATGTGTCCAAAAGTTACCATAGTGCTTATCCCTATTTAGCTTATATGAGACCCAGATGTTATAAACAAAGCCAGGACAGTAGGAATACACTCACTCCTTTAACATATACTAATCTTCATCTCCAAATGCTGTCAAGGTGGGGATTAAAATGTAACTTCTCCTGACTTTATACAGATTGATTTAGACATGCCCTGGGAGCCTAGAGTTCTTATCCCATCCAACGGCTTCCTAAAATAGATCAAATTAAAAGATTAGCCTGCAACTCAGACCCGACCTAGACAACCCAGCTTGCACCTGCTCTTCTCCCTTAAGAGGTGATGTTTCTTTTCTGAATTCTGGGAAAGCCTCGTGTAAACCTTTTGCACCAAGTAAGTGGAGCTGTAACTGTTCAGGCCAGCCAGAAGACAATGTGTCCCGAGGTCTCCAAACAGCCCCCCCTTTAATGACAAAGAAACTGGTTTTTCCATAATCAGTGTAAAAAACATATTCCCATAAAATACAATGCTGGCAGGACTGTAAATATGTTTCACAGCCTGGAGAAAGGCAGACAAGATTTAGAAGTGGAAAGACTGTATTTAAGATAAGACTGATTGTATAGAGTTACAGGTGTTCAAAGGTCAGTGGATGCTGACTTGATAGGAAGTTATTTTTGGGCTCCTAACTCTCAGAATGTTGGACTCCACTGGCTGCAAAAGATACATCAGAATGGCAAAAGAATATTATTCCCCCAACCTCTGATGCCACTCACATGATGTTGTCCTTTTGCGCTTGCGCTTCTCTTTGAGAATCTTAACCAGAGAAGTATGTGTAGCATGTGAATGCTGCCTGTGAATGAACAGAGATGCTTTGTGCTATTCTTCAAAAATGGAGTTTTGAGGAACACATGACTCTCACCCATCACATATATTAGCAGCCATCAAATTCACTGGCATACCTCTGAATTTTAAGAGATTCAAACGTTTGCCTGGGAACATCAGCCTTTACAAGTATTTACCACATGCTGGCCATGAATGCATAAACAAACACAGAAAGATGCCAAAAAAAGTGGGAAGGATGAATGAATAAAATAATCCATCAGTCAGTAGTGCACCAAGGTACAGATTTTCATCCTTTTCCCAGTCTCTGATTTTCAGGGATGTTGGTAAGTATTTGGGTCCAAGCCCCAAGTCTGAGTCTTTGGGTCCAAGCCCCAAATCTGAGTCCCTATTAAAAACAAGCTTTTTAAGGAGGGGTGGGTGGGTTCCAAATTGAGAGTTGAGTCTGAGTCATTGGGGGGGGAAAAAAACTAGGTTGAGTCACTGGTGCAACTTAAGCCTGACTCGACACTGAGTCCTGCGATTCAAGTCCTCTTCCCTGTTGATTTGCGTGAAATTTGGAATCAGTGCTTAAAATAAAACTAACTCAGCACAAGCATTTGCTTTTAAAGACATTTGACTAAGTGTACAGGAAATTGAAACGGGCCTGTCTGAGTCCCCAGATGTTCTTGGACTAAAACTCCTGGAAGCCTTCACCACTAGCTGTTGGCCAGGAGCAGTAGTCCAAGAACATCTGGGTCTGGGAACTACCAATACAGGGAGTTCATGTATTATTCACGTCTCCCCAGCCCTGTAGAGGCATCCCACTGAGTTTAATGGCTCTATCAACAAAGAACTGACCAGATGTTTCTCAGAACTGGTCACCTCTGAGCTCATGTCTGAATCTGTGTGGCCTTTGGACCTAATTTCCCATGTGATTCTCAATATACCGGTGTGCTTTCAAGCAGTTTTTTGTCCATTTCCCAAGACAGCTTGAGGGACGTGGTGGTGCTGTGGGTTAAACCGCAGAAGCCTCTAAGCTGCAAGGTCAGAAGACCAGCCGTCGTAAGATCGAATCCACGTGATGGAGTGAGCTCCCGTCGCTTGTGCCAGCTCCTGCCAACCTTTCTTATTTATTTTTATTTATTTATTTATCCATTCAATTTTTACCCCGCCCCTCTAGACAACGTCTACTCGGGGCGGCTTACAAAAATCAAAACACATCAAAACAATGTAGAAAATAACTAGCATAATGCAATTATTATAATTAATACTATCCAAGATGGCAACATTAAGAACCAGAAAAAAGGGGGGGATAACTTAAATGACTGGGGGGAAGGCCTGTCTGAATAACCATGTTTTTAGTTGGTTTTTGAACACACCCAG